ATAAAGGCACAATACGTTACTGGTGACTTACTCTTTTGAAGCAGGTAACTTTTGGCTATTTTCCCTCTTGATTAAACGGGATAACTTCAACTTTTTGGAGTGAGAGATAAAATGTGTACACTACTTTTAAACAACCAATGCGCACTCCCCACAATTCAATGAGCCAAAAATAGTGCCAACAAAAAGTCAAAAAAAAAAAGGGGGGGCTGGATTCAAGCTGGCTCCCGAATTTGTTCCAATTCATTTTTTTTTGTATATGGAAAACAGCACAATTTGCATAAACACTGGCACAATTGAGCACAACACGAGCACAATTCAATGAGCCAAAAAGTCAAAAAAACCGGGGGCTGGAGTCAAGTTGGCCCCCGGATTTGCTTCAATTTTCATTGGTGTATGGGAATGAGAACAATTCGCATAAACACCGGTACAATTGAGCAAAAAACGAGCACAATTGACTACAATTGAGAAACAGTATAAAACCGAATGTGAGGGGGCCAGCTTAAGCGAGCCAGAGTCCATAATATTGTAGCTACTCGACTGCTAATTTTAAATTACCTATTATATCACTGAGCTCGAAAGCCTGATGCTTAGCTAAAGAGAACCCTATTATAGTCTTACAGATAATAGGGCTATTATTCCCCATTTCCTATCCTCAAAATTTGAATGCTATTAATAGGATTAAACTGAACTTGTTCAAGGAACAGCTTCTGCCTTGATTATTGTGAGGTTCAAATTGTCAATAATTGTAAACTTTTATTTCAAGGATAACACCTACTAGGTGCCATCCAGCTAAGTAACCATGTCTATCAACTTAGCGACACAACTTCGAAAAATCGATTTTCCATTATGCCAATAATTTGCCGCTTTTTTGCCGCTAATTAAATGTGGAATTAAAAAATTTGCTGCCCTTTTGTTTTTTTCTTAATTATGTGTTTTGCTAACTTGACGTCAAGATAGCGAGACAACATCACTAAATATGTCAGCACTAAAAAACTAGGTACGTGAAAATTTGCCGTTTTTTTGCCGCTAATTAGTTGTGAAAATCAAAAATTTGCCGTTTTTTTTTTTATAAAAAATAAAGTTTGAAAAAAAAATCATTTGTTTCGCTAACTTGACGTCAAGTTAGCGAGGCATTATCATCAAAAATGTCGGTAGTGAAAAATTGAGTGAATGGAAATTTGCCGTTTTTTTGCCGCTAATTAGTTGTGAAAACCAAAAATTTGCCGCTTTTTTTTACAAAAAATCAAGTTTGAAAAAAAAATCATGTGTTTCGCTAACTTGACGTCAAGTTAGTGAGACAATATCACTAAAAATGTCGGTAGTGATGAGTTGAGTGAATGGAAATTTGCCGTTTTTTTGCCGCTAATTAGATGTGAAAACTAAAAATTTGCCGCTACCTTTCTTTTCATAAGAAAATCGTGTTCGAAAATAAAATAGTGTTTTGCTAATTTAACGTAAAGTTAGCGAGATCACTAAAAATGTTGGTAGTGATAAATTGAGTGAGTGGAAATTTGCCGCTAATTAGCTCTTTTTCTACAAGAAAATATCGCGTTTGAAAAAAATATCATGTATTTCGCTAACTTGACATCAATCAAAGAATAATCAGAAAAATGCAGCCTTACTCAAACTAACCCATACTAACCCGTTCGCCTAGTGCGATCTAGGATCTAGTCTTCGTTAAATAGAATTTTATTTGAAAAACAAGGCGCGGTCAAGGGACCCTACGCTATAAATAAATTGACTGTTTTTTTGGATAAAATGCTAACTTACGAGTACTAGATCGCAGTGATCGCACTAGGCGGACGGGTTATTTTGGGTTAGTTTGAGCAAGTCTGTATTTGCTTTATTATTATTGGTTCAAATTGATGTCGCAATACAGACTTACTCAAACTAACCCAAAATAATCCGTCCACGTCAATGACATCAAAACATAGATAGACCGAACAATAAACAAAATTTTCGTATGACAACATCTCTCTGTCTCTTTTGGGTCTTTGTGCTATCCCCACCACTGAGAATGCCAAATTTTGTCTTGAATCCCTAAATAATATATTTTTCTCCTCTAATTAACATTTTCAATTTTATTTCTGAACTCAATTTGGCAACAGCAGATTATAGCAAAACACCGCCCAGAAGCGGCTTGTTGAATGGCAGGCAGGTGTTGAATGTAGTAGCTAGCTATCTTTATTGCAAACAGGGATTATTCATTAGCGTTAAATAAGAAACGACTAACACGATATTGGTACTCCCAGAATAAAGGGCTCGTATCGAATATTTTCAGTTTATTTGTCAATTTGTTATTTTATTTATTCATCCAATTAAATTTCGAGATATATTCACGTGTGGGCGGGGTTTTTTACACCATTTTGAGCAATGATGTCTCCCTACCCCGACCCCGCGAGCAACTCACCTCCCCTGGCCCATGGGTGGTCTTGTCAACACAACAAATAATAGTTTATGAATGGGATGATCCGTCTATCTGTGTTTTGATGTCATTGGTCCACGTAGTACGATCTAGTCCTCGTAAGCATTTTATTTAAAAAAACAAAGTTAATTCACTGATTGCTCAGGGTCTCTTGAGAGCGCAGTGCTTTTTTTAAATAAAATGCTAACTCACGAGGACGAGATTGCCCTAGACGGACGGGTTAGTTTGAGTAAGTCTACATAATTTTGATTAATATTGGAACAGTTTGATGTTTCCCTCTTTTGCTTAGAGGTCGTCGTTGTAAAAGTCGCTCTTTTAATTTGTCACTGTTCTAAATCTCGTTGTTTACATATGTCGCTCTTTTGATATGTTGCTGTTTTTTTTAGATGTCGCTATTTTGAATATCGCTGTTCCAAATGTCGCTATTTTGATATGTCGCTTTAACAATATGTCGCCTTTTTGATGTTGCTATTTTAAATATCGTTCTTTTGAACCGGAGCCACCGAAAATATCTTGTATTTTGGAAAACGATCTTCAGTTCTCGTCGAGGTTCTCGTAGTAAGGCACTTCACGTTCTTGGCCAATCCCGCTTTATCCAGTTGCGTTTTTGTTCTGTCGCGCTTTTGTCCCCTCGCGCTTTGTCGCTCGCGCTTTTGCTTCTAGCGCTTTTATCCAGTCGCGTTTTTGCGCAGTCGTGCACTTTTGTCCCTCGCGCTTTTGTTCCTCGCGCTTCTATCCAGTCGCGTTTCTGTCCATCGCGCATTTGTCCTGTCGCGTTTTTGTTCCGTCGTGATTTTGTCCCTCGCGCTTTTTGTATCGCGCTTTTTGTATCGCGCTTTTCTCCCTCGCGCAAATGACACAGATCCCATGCATAAACTGGCATTTTCTAATTGTTGATTTCAACCAATCAGATTACGATTACGTGATAATTTGTACTAGTGCAGGATTATCGGATTGGATAATTGCTTACTAACGGGTGGCATTGGACATTTTTTCTGATTGGTGACATTTATACTTACGAGGATATACTGAAAATTTAAATTTTTGATTCATGAAATTCTCTCATAAAATACAACTCGAGCAATGGAAATATATCTATAATTTTTGAGAAATTTGCTCTCATGCATTTTTAACTGGAAAAGGCACTCGTCCTTCGTGCTTTTTTTCAACTAAAAATGCATTCGGGAAAATTTGCCAAAAATTATCGGTAATTTCCATTTTATCCCAATTTAATTTTATTTCTAATTTTATTTTATTTTCTGTATAAATGAGTACACGATATTTCGCTTTCTGATTTTTGAAATCTATAAGGCCTCCAATAGAGTTTTCCTAAGCTAAAGAGAAAAAAAACTGAAAAACTATTTTCAAAAAATTTAGAAATAAATATTTGTTCCAACAAATGTTGAGTTTCACTAATTAAAATATACTTACAGGGTGCATAAAAATCAAGGGTGGGAGATCATTTATAACGGAACACCCTTTTACTCACATAATTTTATACTGCCTTTAGTTTTTTGTGATGATGTCGGTCTAACTTAACGGCAAGCTTGCGAAACACAAGTTTTTTTCAAACCCGATTTTTTCATGGAGAAAAAGAGCGGCAAATTTTTGGGTTTTCATATTTAATTAGCGGCAAAAAGCGGCAAATTTCCACAGCTTTTCTCTATCACTCAATTTTTCTCTACCGACATTGTTAATGATACTGTTTTGCTCACTTGATGTCAACTTAGCGAAACACATCATATTTTTTTCAAACGCGATATTTTCCACTCACTCAATTTATCACTACCGACATTTTTAGTGATCTCGCTAACTTTACGTTAAATTAGCAAAACATTATTTTATTTTCGAACACGATTTTCTTATGAAAAGAAAGGTAGCGGCAAATTTTTAGTTTTCACATCTAATTAGCGGCAGAAAAACGGCAAATTTCCATTCACTCAACTTATCACTACTGACATTTTTAGTGATATTGTCTCGCTAACTTGACGTCAAGTTAGCGAAACACATGATTTTTTTTTCAAACTTGATTTTTTGTAAAAAAAAGAAGCGACAAATTTTTGGTTTTCACAACTAATTAGCGGCAAAAAAAACGGCAAATTTTCATCTACCTAATTTTTTACTGCTGACATATTTAGTGATGTATAAACACGTAATTAAGAAAAAACCAAAAGAGCGGCAAATTTTTTAATTCCACATTTAATTAGCAGCAAAAAGGCGGCAAATTCTTGGCATAACGGAAAATCGATTTTCCGAAGTTGTCTCGCTAAGTTGATAGACATTAAGTAACCACTAGGAGGAAATTGTGAAAAGATTGCAGAACTTGAGGATTGATCTGATTGCAGGTAAATTTTCAAGGTTGCAGAAAAAGGCAAAAACAATCTCTTTTAGCACAAATTTAGACCATTCTGTGGTCTTTAGGGCGATTTTGGACATTCTCTCCTGATGTTTCAAGAGAGAAAGCCAAAAGGAAGCATCAAGAGGTTTTTAATGCAAATTTGAACCAAAATATGTCTAAGAAAGTATGACAATAAGCTCCTATTCAGGTTTTTCTTTTTTTTTTTTTGAAGCTTTATTACACAAAATATTTTTTTACCTCTGCACAAAAGGAACTTTCCGTTTCTGCACCTCCAGTATTTGTTTTAACAACTACTTTGTTTTGAAGACACACGCCGCCAATATTAAAATCTATAAATGAATTAATTATTTGCCTGAGTAATAATTTTTTTCACTAAAAAATATACCTGTGAATTTGAGAGCAACATTATAACCTTTGGGAACCATCACATTCCATGTACATTCAATATCTTTCCTATAAGGGTTTGGGTACAAAGGACTAGAAAATTTTCCCATGTAGTTGAACATTTTTCCACCACAACCCTTACCATTTTCCGAAGACAAATATAAGAAATTATATTTGAAGTAAGAAGCAGATTTTTGTAAATTATACATGTGAATATAGAGTTTATTTGTGTTTGTAAAAATAGGACTAGGTAAGCGAAAACCGCAGGCTTTAAATAGTTGAAGTCCAGTGGAATTATTTTCTCTTATCTGAAATTAAGTGTTTTAATGTAATTGTATTATTACGCATGAATAAGTATGTTGTAGATACCTCCAAGCCAAGTTTGGAACAAGAATGGTCCGCAGTTATAAAAAAGAATGTCATAAAATATATTGATAAAGTCCTGTTCGGGTCTGCTGTGATTGTAATTACACAATTTGATTCTGCACTATTCACTACATCATTTTGAATTCTTCCTTCATTTGCGTAAATTGTTCGGTTACAACCTGAAATATTTTTTGACAAGAAAATTTCAAATATTGTTTTCAGAAAAAAAAAAGTTCAAATAGGTTGTGATTTCGTCCTCACAGATAATTATTGATATTCCCATAAATTTAGGGAATGAAAAATTTTAAATTCAAAATTCTTTGTAATTAAATGTCTAGTACTTGAAATATGTTATTGATTCCAATTATCCTTATTCAAAGATTTTGTAAAATTGAAATATTTAGTTTTGTATATGTAATAACATACTCTTATTGTATAGGTTAAGTAGCAAAAGGGCTAAGTTGGGGAAAATTATTACCTGAATAGCCATATTTTAGTTTAAAACCTTTTCCTTTCACACCAGTATACCTATGACTATGAAATGTTAATGTTACTTCATTTGAAGTTGAATAATAGTCGAAAGGTTTAGTTTCGTTGTCACAAAAAGCGTATTTGAATGTTTCCCGGGAACCCTAGAAAAGAAATATTGCTGGTACTTCAGAGCCTTAACTTCTTACTCGGCAAATACCCTGTAGAAATCCGAATTTGTGTATTTTCAACTACAAATTCATTTCTAGAGGGGTACCTGTAGAGTATTGTACATCATCGGAGAGAAGAGCCTAAAGTTATTCAGGATTGTCAAGGCTGAAAACTTAAGAAGCTAGATGGTAAGTAATTCGTACTCACTCCAAAAGCATTTTGAACTTGATGTTTAGCTCTTGGACCGAATCCTTCACTGATAATCAATCGATTCGGATCTTCTGTCAGTTCCAATCTATCAGAATCGCATGTCTTTGCCAATGAATCTCCAGAAATATCAATCTCTTCAAAATGTATCATAAATTTGGCTGTATTACTAAAGCTTCTAATCACCCAAGTGCATTTAATATTTTCTGGATAATTGTTTGGGTAATCTGGCGAAGTTAACTCTTTCCATTCTTTTTCAGCGATCAGTTCTGATGGACCACATTTAGCTGAAATAATTTTGAACTTATGCATTTCAATAATTTCACCGTCTAAAACTTACACTGAACTGGTTTTATTGTGACCCTAAACATGTCATTTTGAGGAACAGCAGAATATAATCTTATGTATGCAGTATTCCATGAACTTGTAAATGTTCTTCTCATATGGTTATCGCCACTGCAAAGTTTTGCCATCACATCAGCGAACGGTCCAGCTCCATCCCTTATCTGGTATTAAATAAAATCGGTTTTAGTAATATATTTTTTTTAAATTTAGCATTATACTCTACCTCTATATATGAGCAGGTGCAATAGTATGTATGATTTCTAACAGGATTTGAACAAGAAGTTGAAATTGAGATATCAGTAAATTCAATTTTGACTTTATTATCTTGAGGGGCTATAATTATCCAGTGACAATCCATATGGGGTAGATTGTTTGGTGAATTTATATACTTTGTTTCAGTTAAATTTATTGTTCCTCCACATCCAACCGAAGGACCTAAAAAAAATGAATTAAATGTGGAATTTAAATGAAGCACTATTAATAAAATTTGGTAAAAATAATGCATATGACAGAAAATTGGTCACAAGTTTATAACAAATGCACCCAACCTACATTATGTGCTGGAGAAAATCCTCAAAAATTAGGGTAAAATCGAGGGATGTTCCACTCACTAAATTTTGTACACCTACCTAATATATTTGACTGCATTGATTGCATCGAAGATGATAGTTGAATGCATTGACTTTTGAGCAATATCTAACAAGATTGCAGGCGTCACTTGCAGCGACTGCTTACGATGTGTATAATATGGAATATATAGGGTGGTCCAAAAAAAACCGGAATTTTGTTTTTGAGCTGTAACTTTTTTATTTGTTGACCAATTTTCTTTTGTTTTGGCTTGTTTGAAAGAGAAATGAACAGACTAACGAATCAGGGTGAAACTTTTGATATTTGAAAAAAATCCAAAATGGCGGACTTTTTCAAAAATTGCCTAGTTTTGGATAGCGCTGGAACTTTTTTGTGACACCCTGTATAAGTTTTTTTAATAAATTCTTAAAATTCATCATTTTGCGAACATTTTAAGATCTCGACAGAAAAAATCGGTTAAAAACTAACTGAAATATTGAATTTTTGGTAATTTCGAATTTCAATTTTTTATATTGACAGGAAAATCTAGGATATGCTATTTCAGCTAGATTTTTTTTTCTACTCGACATATTCTTTCTATTTCTCGCTTGTTCGAAAGATAAATAGATAAGGTAAGGATTCGAAATGAAGATTTTGACTGTTGAGGAAAAATTAAAGATTTCCCAGTTCCTTTAACATAGCCAATTTTGAAAAAGTTAACGATAACTTTTCTAACAATATGACTAATATTTTTATTTCTAAAAAATAAAATAAACACATTTAAGGGGCGATATGCCCTCCGTGGGCCTCAACAACCCATGCTAAACGTCTACGCCAAGCATCGATAGAATTGGCAATGTGACGTTGTTCCAGAGCAGTTCTTCCCAACACTCGATGATTCGGTTGCTCAGCTCTTCTAAATTATTGAACGTAGTCCCATTTCCGTGGACTTTTTCTTCAAAGTCCCCCTATAAAAAGTAATCGCAGGAATTCAAATCTGGGCTATAAGGCGGGTGATTTAATGCTGAAGCATGTTAAGCGGGACTAAACATTTAAACTGTCCAACTTGATAGATTTAGAGCCCATGCTGAAATCCGAAAAATTTGGTTCAGTGATGGGAAAATTTTTACCTTATCCGGAGTAAAGAATTCGCAAAACGACCAACTACGAATTGTCCTCCCAGCTCGAAAAGAAGATAAAGGAAGAGAAAAATTCAGAAGTTATTTAATGGTATCCTCGATGGTATCTATCTGCAGCAATTTCAAGAAGCCACATAGCACAACTAATTGTTATCGATCAAGGAGTTCGCTTGGATTCACGCAAATATTGTCAGCTTGTGTTCACCATATTCTATCTGAAATTAAGCTTGTTTGAGAGAGGTAGGTTGCCTGATAACTTTTATGACGTCATCTGTATGCCTGAACATAATACAAATCTCCATTTAGCACTCTAGATGCGTCATCAAGTTACCCATTACCAGACAACGTGTTAACTTTCGGAACCTTGATCCAAAATTGAACAGCTCACACCTCAGGACTACACTTTTATGCAGGTAATTAATTTATAACTCACCTAGTTAACGTTTATTGTTCAGATTTTGGTTCTCACAAAAACTTTGATAAAATTGTAAGTTTTTGTATTTCTCTTTTTATGAGATAAAGGTGATAAATACTGTCTGTATATAAGATGGAGACAGGTGACATATTAGCCGCTTTACTATCAACTATCTAAGAGAGCAAGTTGCGGATTTTATACAGCCCGTTGACTGGCCGCCTAATAGTCCAGATTTGAATTCCTGCGATTACTTTTTTAGAGGGGATTTGGAAGAAAAAGTCCACGGAAATGGGGCTACGTTCAATAATTTAGAAGAGCTGCACAACCGAATCATTGAGTGTTGGGGAGAACTGCTGGAACAACGTAACATTGCCAATTCTATCGATTCATGGCGTAGGCGTTTAGCATGGGAGCTACGGAGGGCATATCGCCTCTCGCTCCTTAAATGTGTTTTCTTTATTTTTTAAAATTTATAAATAAAAATATTAGTCGTATTGTTAGAAAACTTAACGTTAACCTTTTCAAAATTGGCTATGTTAAAGGAACTGGGAAATCTCTAATTTTTCCTCAACAGTCAAAATCTTCATTTCGAATCGTTATCCTTTCTATTTATCTTTCGAACAAGCCCGAAATAGAAAAAATATGTCGAGTAGAAAAAAAAAATCTAGCTCAAATAGCATATCCTAGATTTAGCTGTCAATATAAAAAATTGAAATTCGATATTACCAAAAATTCAATATTTCAGTAAGTTTTCAACCGATTTTTTCTGTCGAGGTCTTAAAATATTCGCAAAATGATGAACTTTAATAATTTATAAAAAAAACTTATACAGGGTGTCACAAAAAAGTTCCAGCGCTATCCAAAACTAGGCAATTTTTGAAGGAGTCCGCCATTCTGGATTTTTTTCAAATGCCAAAAGTTCCATCCTGATTCGTTAGCCTGTTCATTTCTCTTTCAAACAAGCCAAGACAAAAGAAAATTGGTCAACAAATAAAAAAGTTACAGATCAAAAACAAAATTCCGGTTTTTTTTGGACCACCCTATACATATATGGAATATACGCTACTGCATGTGACTGCAGGGAATTTATAACGATTGCAAGTGACTGTATTATGACTGCATGAGTCTATGTATTCCGTTGACTGCATGAGAATACTCAGGTAAAATAGATTCTAAGGAAAGTTTTCTGAAAATGTGTAAATGGAAGTCAGCTATCAAATAGGGTCACCATGTTTTTTTTCCAAAAATTTAAACTGAAAAATATGCACTTGCATGAAATTTTTAGTAAAGGATTCAAAAATATGATGGCCTGATAAGGCTCCCATCTTGAACAAGAAATGTAGGAACTAAGTAGGACTTTAACACTAACAACCACTTGCATTATTTTTACATTTTCAAAAATTATTTATGTCCATTCAAAACAGCGAAAAAATTATTAATTTCTCATTTCATAAATTATTAATAATGCTTTGTGTGATGCTAATTGTTCCAAATTATTGGAAAAAAGGCTTTTTATATAATAATTATGAATTTGTAACTTCACACGCAAATTATGGAAAAGATGATAAGTTGATGAGGGTGCCACTTGAAAAAAAAAAAAAAAACATTTATTATTACCGTAAGTGAAATAGACCTCTCCTTGAAATCCATTAAAGTTATAAGCGGTAGAGTCTAATTTAACAAGCATAGTATTTGAAGTTGCTGGAATTGGTTTACTTTCGTCAATTTTCCCGCAAAGTTGTGCCAATCGTTTGTTCATCTTAGCTTCTAATCCATCATAAACTTCCAAGTGTTGGCCAATGCAGTGAATTCCCAGTGTCATGCTTAGATTATGTACGCTAAATAAAAAATGTTTATCATTTGACAAATTGAAAAACGGATTGTTTACCTCAAAACTGGTATTTGATCCGGAGGCGCAGTAATATACCAATTACACGAAACTCTAGCCTGATAAAATTTCATATAACCTGATAATTGTGAAGCCTTATCCCTGGTACTAGGTGACTCTAATGAGGCTGGAGAAGTGATATTTCCCCCACAACCTAAAATATTTAGTCATAAATTTTGCATATTCAGCAATAATCTCTTCAATAGACTCTTACTTTCATCTTTATAGACTAATTTAAAACCACGCATCCCTCTTAAATACCTATATGTACTCATATAAGTAATTATAACAGCATTTTTAAATCTTTGGACTGAAGGAATATCATTGCCGCAATATACTTGTTTTATTGTGTTTATATGTGATTGTGATGCTGATGATGCTCCCGCTATTGTCAAATTAGAGTAAGCACAATTTGACGACATTCCTCCGACAGTTGATCCAGTGCCCAGCAAATCGAAATCCAATAATTTAACGCTGACAACACCTTGGTCTTTCCTAGATATAATTTTGTAAGTACAATTCATAAAATATGTTGAGAATGTATTTGGATAGTTAGGGCTCATAAGGTATCTTTCTTTTTCGCCAGCTACAAAGGTTCCTCCACAGTGCCAGTTCCAAGATGCCTAAAAGACAATTTTTTGAAAAATATACATAATACCTAATGAATCTAATACTGCCTTACTCGAAAACCACTGCCAGTGATTTTTTCATTGCTTCTAAATATGATTCTCAACTGATTATTGCTAGAAAGAATTTCTCCTGGTAAATTTCTTCCGCATTTTTTACCCAAGGAAACCCATTTGTCGTCATTCGAATCAAATATCTCAACATAATCTTTAGTGCAATTTTCACTTTCTTCAATATAAAATCTGTCAAAAAAGTGTAGCTTTATCACATTTCCTACAGGTGATCTAACATCCCAAATGCATTCCTTATTATTACCATAATCTTTTCCATAGTTAGGTGTCTGTATGTCCACTTTTTCACTTTGATAAACTCCTCCACAACCTAATAATTACAAATACATATAAGTGTCTAGTGTTATGTACTTATTAGATGTTTTCCCTTCAACTTCATTCTAAGGCATCAACAAATCAAACAAGAATATTATTTTTTTAAAAGTGGAAATTCTTATCATCAGTAAGTTGAATCCTTTATATTGTTTAGAATGTTTGCAGTCAATTTATTTTCGAATTGTTTTAGCCCTTCGAATGAAATTAATTTTTGCACGCCTTATAAATGTTTTCTACTACTCACCTTCAATTTCAGGTTCATATTTAAAACTAAATCCTTTCGGAGGATTTCTATTATTATCATCCTTCACATATCTGTATTCTATTAAAAGTGCCAACTTTTGACTAACTAGCAACTCAGGATGATCATTTTTACAATATTTTCCTATTATTGGTGACATAGGTGTTCGTCCATTGTAAATAATTACATAATTTTTATCACAATCATCTGCCAAATTTAAACTTGTAAAATTCACTTTGATTCTTGATGAAGCTAGCTCAATGTGCCAAGAACACTCAACTGAATCTGTAGCAGCATTAGGAAAATTTGGACTAGAAATTACACCTTCATCGTCAGTTAATAATCCACCGCATTGATAGGTTTTATACGATATTGTGAAATTCAGGTGTGCGTTGTAATTTTTGCGGACCTAGAATGGGAGAAGAGAGAACAAAAATTTAAAATATTGCCAACCCAGTTCCACTTACCAATAATAATGTTGTAGGCAGTATGGATCTAAAAATATGAGGTCTGTTATTTGTACTTGTACAGAGTCTCCCCAAAGCATAGCTCTCATTGGTATATGAATCCAATGTATATTTTTTGTGGCTGTTTGAATCAATGATATGTATTCCTGTACTACTACGGTAGCAAATCCCTGAACCTGCAGTTGTTGCATTAGTCTCCATAACAATGCTTAAAGCCAATGTTTCTGAAGTGGATCTTTTCGTATGAAGCCATTCACATTGGTATGGTGCTGAATGTTGTGGAGCTAATATTTGTCCAGATGTCGAATTGAAGTCTCCTTCGCAAACTAAAACCGAATTTAATTTTTTTTTATAATTAAATTAGGAACCAATCGTACCAGTTGGCTTGTTTGATGTAAATTTGATCTTGAATCCACGCCGACCGTTAGGAAAGTTTCGCCATAAAAATATGTTGGCAGTATTATCACTAGTTTCGTAAGTCTTTTGAGGTTGTATGTCTTCCTCCCCTAATATTTTAGGTCCCTGGAAAAATCCTTCAAAAACTACCAGGTATGTAGATTTTACTTCAATGTCCATATCTTCAGTGTACATCGAAATTCTTCGTCCTTTAGGTACTCTGATTCTCCAGATACAGTAGCGACTTTCTTCAGTCTTCATTGGATAGCCAGGAGAAGTGATAGTACCACTTTCTTGTTCTATGACACCTCCACATTCTAGAACACATGTTTTAATATTTTATACCAGGATGCGCATATACTGGGCAGATCAGTAAAAAATATATGATGCAACTACATTACCTTCTTCCCTAAATTTGAAATTAAGGATAAATTTATCTCGATCAGATTTCGCTAAATAATTTACTACTATTTTATTGCCAGTCGAGTGATATTCCGTTGCATTTATATGTCCACACAAAGTCATTTCGGTATCTGAAAAAATACTAATTTAGTTCAATTGAATATTTATGAAATTGACAGAACGATTTGAGATTACTTACTGTTGTCATTAGATACAGGATTTAGCTCTATAAGTTTAACTTGTCCTGTATTCTCACTACAATTTACACTATACTGGGCGACATTGAACATTGAAAATTTCATTATAATATTGTTATCAATTGGTGCCAGTATGTGCCACGTGCAATTATCCCCAGTTTTAATAACATGCGGTTCCTGAGTATTGATGGTTCCCTCACCTCTAAATGTACCACCGCAATACGAAATTGAAACTTTTGCTTTAAATCCATTCCGTGGTTCATTTGAATCAGTAAAATATTTAATATTGAGCATATTATCCGTTGTGAATAATGTGTTTGGCATTTCATGACAGTAACGTCCTATGAGTGGTGAAAGAGTGGTACCTCCATCTCTTAATTCAAGATAATCTGTTGTACATCTGACAAAAAATCAATTTATCGATAAGCTTTAGAGATTGATGAAATAATTATTACTTGCTGTTTGTAGAAATGTCAAATCGTTCCAGAAAATCGACCCTTAAAGATTCTCCACTTGGAGCTCTTATAATCCATGTACATTCAGAATGGGCTTGTGGTATATTCGGATAGTTAGGTGATGTTATTTCTACTGAAGTTTCTTCAGAGGATAATCGAATATTAGAGTCACAATCAAATGATACTTCAGAGTATTTTAATTTAAAGCCCTAGAAATGTTTGGGTAAAACAAAAACAAACTGTACTTTTATAGACTTAAGGTAGGTGTAGAGAAGTATGTCCCTGTGATCAAGAAAACTTTATAAAACTGTTGTTGATTTGCGTTTGGAAGATTTTGAATTCTGAGAGGCAGAAGAAAAAAACTCGTATACTTATGAGAATCTAAAGTTTTAGCACGCGATTCTTATCAAAATTTTCTGTAAGTGGGTATATTAGCATGACGTGCATATTGCCTTCACCTGCCCTATTTTGTATTTTCTTGAATATACCTACCTTAAGGCGTACAGTTCCACTATATTTGATATAAAGATGATTACTAGAAGATTCCATATCTGGTGGTGCTTCAGGTCCACAAAATTTGCCAATTCCAAGGAAAGGACTATCGGGGAATTTTCCATTTCTGACTATCACAAAACTTCTGCAGCTGTTTGCGTTACTCGCGCTCAAATCAAATTCTTCGAAATGTAATTTGATCGTCCGACCAGTTCGAACACTAATGTTCCATTGGCACTGAAACAAGGGAAAAAAATAAATTTAAGGCTTAATGGTTACCCAAGTTGACGGTCGATTTTGAACTGAGAAAATTTGTCGAGACATTAAAAAAAAAATACATGGCTCTTCTTTATACAAAGTTCGCAGTTTCGTAATAATCATCGAGATCGATTTGGTTCCCGGTAGGACACGCTGTATATTTTATGTAATTCGGAATTGTGAATTTTGATTATTCTTCGTTAAAGATATTGCAGACGATGAAGAATAAGAGCTCCTCCAACCATATTATGCAGTCAACCTTGCCGGATTACCTTTTTAGAAGGTGTTTGGATGGTAGCGACAGCCAGGAATGTCAGTAGTTGTTGTCAGAGAGACTTGTCAATATGTTAATGATTAGTTAATGTTCATTTTTAATATAAATAGTTCTTCAAATAACCGTATTCTACATATAGACTACACATAGCAGAGGCAGGAAATTTGTAGCAATGTCATTATTACCTCAAAAATTTAAGAGTCTCTACCAGAGAGAATCTGGTACTTTCATAAGTTTCATGATGAACAATATAATAGGTAATAGTCTACTTTTTAGAAAAATCCAAGAACTGTAGGCAGGATCGTCTCTTTAGACCCTGTATGATTAAAATCATGAGCGAAAATAAATAATTACCGTCCATCCGTGAGCATGGTCTGAATCAAACGTTATCACTCCGTTTGGTTCTGTCAGTGTGCCACCACAATCTAAAATATCAAGAATCAATAAATGCTATTCAACGTATGAGCCTAATTATTCATACCTCCGAAAATAATAGCCTGGAATCCAGTCCCGTTTAAATACTTGTTAGTCCTAAATTCTACTTTCAAAAAATTAGCACCAATTAGGTCATTGCTTATATTTGAAGGGGTACAAATTTCTTGAACTAAACGCCATTCTTCATCTTGATTTGCTTTTGTATGAACTATTAGGACGTCCGAGTAAGTACAAATACGATTTCCACCAAACCCTCCAAAGTTCAAATCAATTATTCTTAATCTCAAATGATATTGAGGGTCTATTTCGTATATCCATTCACAATTTAAATTCGGTTTGTATCCAGTTGGATATCCTGGAGATGTCAAGGATACATTAGTTTGTCCTTCCAGTTTATATGCATAACCACAAACTAAAAATGGGGAAAAATATTTCCTAAATTTCCTTTCCTTTCATGCGCCGTGTAAAATCTATAATTTCTATCCCATAAAATTATTTGAACCCTGTGAATTTTTTTAATAAAGCAACTTTAACCTTCTTCAATTGCCAATAAAGAATTTCCAAGCTGGAATTAAACGTTACCTGATTGTGTTTTATTTGATGTAGCAGTTTTTCCATTAACTTTCGATAACTCTTTCCATTTTAATAGAAACTTGGCATTCACCCTAGCCGCATAAAAATCAAGAGAAACATACATCATATTGGAAGTTGATAAAATTGAATCTGGTGAATCGGAACCGCAAAATTCTTTTACTAGAGGTGCGTTAGCATCCATTCCATCGTATACCTAAAAATTAAAATAAATTTTATTCTTTGTCGGAATAACATTAATATACCATACATACTTTTAAGGAATTGCCAAAACAACCTCCACCAGAATTAATTTCAAAGAAAAATTCAAGAAACGTAAGCTCTATAATAGTACTTGAATTGGTTGTTATCAGCCAAGAATGGTATCCATAGGTGGATGCTGGAATAGGGTTTGGATAATGTCTGTTGCCTATGTAACCTTCTGGGCCCGATAAATGATTTTCAGAAGCTATAATACCAAATTAATTCAGATGAAATAAGGCATAATTTGGAAATTGAAGCATTACTTGTCGCAAATTCAACATAAAATCCTCTATTTGTAGATACTTCGCCCACTCCAAGATCACTACTTTTAAACATTAAGTATAAAGTACCAATGGCCGAAATATTCGGTGCAGAATTCGTTCCACAAAATACGCCGAGAAGTTTTCCTGTAGCATTACTTTCACGGATCTCTACAAAATCAGTATTGCAATGTTCGGACTCTGGTATATTAAACTCCACGAAATTCAAATTTATGGTGTTACCTAAAGGAGAAATTGAAATCGGATAAAATTCATTGATACAAATTAAGAAAATTACCGTACCAGGTCCCATAGCAATAGTCCAAGAACATTGAGCGTTAGCGGGATAGCTTTTAGGCCAGCCAGGAGTGGCAATGTAACCACCGTCGTTTTGTAAATCTCCCCCACAATCTGTAATAATAATAATGATAATAAGTCAGAGTTGGCTGTTTCAGTCCCTCTCTGAACTAGACTGTGTCATAAACCTATTTTTTTCTGTTGAAGGTATTTAATGTCTCTATCTGGATCTTTTACTTAATTTTCAATACTTGTTTAGTTAGTTAGTTAGGTCTATGCATGTTGCATGCACTTCACTGAAATATTGATCGATGATTGAATGAATGATACCACTGAGCGACCAAAAATTTATCAGAAATGTATACAGGGTGTCCGGAAAGTCAACGATAATACTGAAGGTGCTGATGGAGCAACTCATTAGCATCCATGACCTTAGTAAAAAATCGATGGTTTCCGAGATATTGTCACTTTAATAAAATTCGCTAAAATCGTCCTCTTTGATTAGATTTTCGAGTGTCACCTTAAAATTTTCATTATTCTCAGATTCTGAATTCAGTTTTGTAATGGTGAATAGACATTTCATTTGTCATAGACCTACATTAAAAGTCAAAGTTCAAAACATTTACTGAAAAATCTTTTTAAAGTGAATACTTCTGATACTTCACTTTAAAAAGATTTTTCAGTAAATGTTTTGAACTTCGACTTTTAATGTTGGTCTATGACAAATGAAATGTTCATTCACCATTGCAAAACTGAATTCAGAATCTAAAAAAAAATGAAAATTTTAAGGTGACACTCGAAAATCTGATCCAAGAGGACGATTTCAGCGAATTTTATTAAAGTGACAATATCTCGGAAACCATCGATTTTTTACTAAGGTCATATTATGTTTTTCTGGATGCTAATGAGTTGCTGCATCAGCCCTTTCAATATTATCGCTGACTTTCCGGACACCCTGTATATGCGAAAAATATCAAATTTCTAGCTAAACTGAATAGGTATTTAAAAAAAAACTACGATGAATGTACATAAAATAATAACTTACGGTTGTCTAAAACAGAATAGGTAGCAAACAAATCCATTGCCCGAAATATTTTTATGTGTAGTGCAGATCCGTCAGTAGTAATAGAGGGAGGCAATTTCGTTGCACAATATTTTCCTATAAGCGGCGAATCATCAAGTGGTCCATTATATAATTTCATAACTGGATTACTCTCATCATCACACCATGTAATTCCCATTTCCATTTTTGTTATACTGAACGTTATATGTTTCGCTAAAGAGAATTATTATTGTTAGCCACTTACACATCCTTCAATCTATAAAGCTCAAAAGCCAAAGTAAACCAACAGATCATATGATAACATCACTGGAGTTTGACATTCCCTATGAAGTGGTTGTAAAAGAACGCCAATCATGGAAGAGCGCAAGGCTACCGCAAGCGGACAACGCATCATTTTGGTACACAGATGGTCCGAAACTAACGGAAGGAGTCGGTCTGGGAATAACTGGACCCAACTAAGGTACTGGCCATAAACATCTTTGCCCAAGAGTGCCTTAAAAGAGGCCTTTTAAGAAAGCACATTCACATACTGTCCAACAGTCAAACGGCTCTATAGGCTCTAGGAGCCATCAAGTGCAATTCGCAGCTAGTTTGCTTGCCTTAAGCAACTGGCTGGGAGGAACAAAGTAACCCTGATATGGGTGCACCAGGGCATAGAGGGCAACGAGGAGGCAGACCGTCTCGGAAAGCAAGGCGCTTTACCAATTTTTCAAGGCTCAGGGCCTTTTTGTGGACTAATAAAAAGCCACGTCTCTGAAGAAATAAACAGATGGGGAAAGGACCGAATGCTAGTTCATTGGACATCCATTCCGGGTCTGAGACAGGCAAAAAGGTTCATATCCGTCTCAGCAGAGAGATCTGAACAAATTCTTGACATGAAAAGAAGAGACAATAGAACAGCCGTTGGTCTGCTCAGTTGGCATTGCCTAGAAAAATATCACCTAAAAACAATAGGCGAATCAGACAACGACCATTGCAGATCTTGCGAACAAGCAACAGAAACTACAGAACAATCAATCTGTGAATGCCCTGCTCACTTGTGCAAACGGCTGAAATACCTTGAAGAGGTACGGCTAACACGTACCCCAAAAGGTGGTCACTTTACCACCCAGGAAGCTGGCCTCCTTCGGGAGAAGCCTACAAATCATGGACATCAACTAGAAGTAGAGTCACACACAAAATATCTGGAAAGGTAGCAGTGCTTGAGCGGTGGAACAAGCTGTAACGACTCCAAATGCAATCTACAATCTAATAGGACTTAACACTAAAAGAACCCTATCAGCTTGAATCAAATTTGCTCTGGGTAAAACATTACTAGTAATCTATAGATAATATCATTCAAAAATATGCCTCACATTTGTCTTCAGCTTCTATAGTATATGTACATGTTGTTATCTCATCAAAATCAAATTCATTTTTGAGCTGAATTTGTCCGCTACCAGATGTCTTGATTCTTGCACCACACGCCTAAAACAAAATAGCATCTCACAATAATATAAGGTGGTCCAAAAAAAACGGAATTTTGTTTTTGAAATGTAACTTTTTTTTTGTTGACCAATTTCCTGTTTTTTTGGCTTGTTTGAAAGAGAATTGAACAGGCTAACGAATTAAAGTGAAACTTTTGAAATTTGAGGAAAACTCAAGATGGCGGACTTCTTCAAAAATTACCTAATTTTGGATATAAAAAGTTGATATTCGATATCACAAAAGTTTTAGTATTTCACTTAGTTTTGAACCGATTTTTCCTGCCGAATTTATTAAAAAACGTTATAAAGGAAGTCACAAAAAAGTTTCAGCGCTTTCCAAAACTAGGTAGTTTATGAAGAAGTCCGCCATTTCGAATTTATCTCAAATGTCAGAAGTTTTACTTTGCTTCGTAAGCCTGTTCATTTCTCTTTTAAACAAGCCTAAACAAAAAAAAAAGTGATCAACAACAAAAAAAGTTGCAGCTCAAAAACAAAATTCCGTTTTTTTTTGGACCACCCTATATAATAGACATATTTGATTAAACATACTTTTCTATATTTTGCTTTAAATCCTTTGCTTGTCAGGTAATAATCGCTTCTGAATTCGATAAACATATGTTCATATGTAGATTGGATAGTTTCATTTGTATTATTTGTGTTGGCGCATATAGTTTTTAATAATGGATAGGCCTGAGTTGGCCCATCGTATACCTAAAATAAATAGTTGAAATATTTAGAGAAAATGAACAAAACGCTCTTCTTTACCTTGATATAATTTCTTTGGCAATCAATGGTTCTAATTAAGTCAACATTCTCAAATTGCAGATCGACCAAATGATTCTCATCGACATCTATGAGCCATTCGCAAGTTTCATTTTTGTTGAAGTTTTGTGGGTAGTTTGGTGAAAATATGTAACCACTAGGAGCAGTAAGTAATCCACCACAAGCTAAAAAATATGAAAAAGTAGGTTATTTCTCCATTGTTCTTTTTTTAGTCTCCAATTGGGAGTTTTAACTCTTTCCTGAGATATCCAGATTACCTGAACTTAACAACGAACTACGTGTTTATCACTTCCGTTATTCTTACTTACTTGTAGGGATTGTAGAATAATCAGCTTTAAACCCACGGCCTTGGTAGCTGTAGTCTGTTTTAAATTTAACAAACATATTATTGCCACTAGAGGTCACTGTAACGGGTTTTAACTGATGACAGAACGTAGCTAGTTCTTGATAGGTCGCATCTTCACCGTTATATATCTAGAAAATAATATGCATCCAAAGATTTCAAATAAATTATGTGATGTGCCTTACCGAAATAAAATCAAAACTGCAACTACTATCTTTTTCAACATCGATTTCTTTAAATACAATACTAATACTTTGCCCAAATGGTACTTTTATGAGCCAATTGCATTCGATACTTTCAGGGTACGGTTTTGGATAATTTGGTGATGTTATTGTTCCTTTTTCATTTGAAAGAATACCGCCACATCCTGGAGATATTTCCCCATGAATTGAATTAATATAATCATAATAACAATATTACCAAATAATTGCCATTCCAATCTAAATCCTGTTCCTAGTAAAAGACTGTCACTAACAAAATGTATTTTGGCATGGTTTGCGTCCAAAGTAATAAAACCTGGATTTTTGTCTCCACAATATCGGTTATATACTTTCCATGTTAAATCGTTTTCATTATAGTCCATCACAGATGTAGGTTTTTCGTATTCAATCTAGAAAAATGGTTTTTAATAACAAAAGACGACTGAACAGAAACTTTGATCCCTTTCACCAAGGTCTGTTTTCTTTCATTTCCTTTTTTGATTTGAAGCGTGTACCTATGTATATCATTAGGAACCGATGTACACTTTTAAAAAGCAAACTAGAAATCGAATGGATTTGAGCTACAGTTAAAGGGGGTGTGACACAAAAATGAAATTTTTAGAGCAAAAAAATCTAAGAATAAATATTTAAACCGCATCTTGATACGATCATCCGTTTTCGAGTTAGGGCGGTTTAAAGTTACAACTAGGTGTTTATGACGTCACACTGGATTATCAGGGACAGTATTAACACATGTAAGAACTTTCCAAAACAAAAGACAATTATCTCCTGGAGCGAATTGCAACCACTCGAAGTATAGGGTACGGTTCACTGACGACTGAACGAACAGAAGACTGCGATTTCGGCGGTTGTGACATCACAAGATCCTGCATAATTTATCTTCACAAGGAATTTTCTCTGAGATTATTTTGAATATAGGACTGCGGTTTTCACGACAGATCTTAGAATTATTTTCTTGATTTAAGTAGCTTAAGTCGTTTTTCAGGGTCACACACCCCCTTTAAGAGGCTAAATAATAACATAAACTTAACTAAAACTACCAACGGAAGCTAGAAACATTCACAAATGAGGACAGCGCAGTGAGCCAAAGAGAGATGAGTGATGAATTATAAAGTAAAAAACTTCTTACCTCTACGTAGTCAAAAGCGCAACTTTTATTTTCAAAAGTAAGCGACCTTTCCAAGGCGAAATGTGAAAAACTTATATTGATTTTATTTCCTTCGGATACACTTATATCCCATATGCAATTCTGATCTTGAGGATAGTCGTAAGGGAAATTTGGACTTTCAATAACACCTCTAAAACCTGTCATAGTGTTAGTGCAAATAGTAGAATATTGTATATTGAATCCACGTCCTTGGAAGCTGACATCTGATCTAAATCGTACTAACATATTATTTAACGTCGATAATACCGGGCTAGTTTGAAGTGTACAGAATTTCCCAAGTGATTTTGAATTTATTGTAGAACCATCGAACAACTTGAAAGTATTTGGTTGGAAATAATATTTAACATTAATAATAATATCTTACTTGAATATAATCTAAACCACATGTAGTATGTTTTTCCAAATCTATATCTGCAAATATTAGTTGTATTTTTGAGCCAGCGCTTACAGTTATTTTCCAAAGACAATCTGTGTTTTTGGTATAAGGTTCAGGATAATGCGGGGACATAATTGAACCAGATGGACTAGATAGGGTTCCTCCACATCCTGAAAATTTAAAAATAAATCATAAGAAGCGTCGAAATATTAATGAGCTCACCTGTTGCAGCCGATGACCATTCTATTCTGAATCCGGGTCCTGTTTTGCTCATATCAGAGTTGAATTTCAAATACAATTTGTTTGTATGGGAGGGAATTGTTTTTTGATAGGTGTTGCCGCAATATTTTCCTATCAATGGCGAAGAAGAAGTGCCACCATTTCTGAAAAATCCACATATTTATTAAATATGTCGACTTATAATTCGCTAGATTATTCCATCAAAGTTTAATTTACATTATCAAAAATTCTTGTCATAGCGGATATACAAAAGTTGATTTGTATGAAAAAGAGTTGAAGGGCTATCCCTGTTATTTCAAGCTCTAGGGGCTCAGACTTCTTTTTTGGGAGATCATTCCTGGGTACCCCCTTGCAGTACCCAAAGGATTGTGTGCAAGGTTTATCCAAAGGCAGTTTTATGGGCTATCTCTGTTATTTGGAGGGGTCTTCGATTTGCACCTCCCATGTGGTGTTGCTAGATTGATACATTTCTTCTGCCTAAGGTTTTTTCTTTCTTTTGCCTTATAAAGGGTGTCTCAACAAGAACTTGAATTTCAAACCGTGCGCCATTTCTGTCTGTCAAGCGTCAAGTCGCCCATATTGGGTATGTGTTCCGTGAAAACATTGACATTTACTAAGGCCATGTTCGTTTTTGTCATCTTTTTCGTCGATTTGCTCCGAAATTTTGACAGGCACGTGACTGGATCAGACAGTTTCAATTTACAAATCACGTGCCTGTCAAAATTTCGGAGCAAATCGACGAAAAAGATGACAAAAACGAACACGGCTTAAAATGCCGCTTTACACTCTTGAGAAACATTTGTTAATTGTGAAAACTTATCACAGAAATGAAGAAAACTTCACAGTAACAAAGCGTAGATTACGTGAACATTTCGGCGTACATAATCATCTGTCGCGGCTTATTGTTGAAAATTTGATCAAAAGATTTGAGTGGAAATTTACACTGAAAGACAAGTGTGAAGAGTCGCCGTTTTGGAAGATCTGTCGAGTGCCGAGAACATCGCCGCTGTGAGAGCCAGTGTTACCGAACATCCAAGCACTTCCATCCGGCATCGCGGCCAGGAATTAAACATCAGTCGCAGTTTGCTACAACGAATTTTGAAAAAGGATTTGCATCTTTATGTCTACCAAATACAGTTGACACAAAAGCTGAAGCCAGCCGATCATGGATAGCGCAGAAACTTTGCCAACTGGATATTGGAACAACACGAAGTTTGTCACTGTAAGGTTTCCTCCATTACTGTAATGAGTTTTTGCAATTAATGAACGTTCCTCAAGAGTGTAGCGCGGCATTTTAGTAAATGTCAATGGGTACATTCAGGCGATGCCAGCGGCTAAGTTCACCCACGCGCCGGAGACTTTATTCTCGAAACAGGGGAGCAGCGTTCTCATGAGAACGAAGATTCTGTCTTCGTCGCGCGTATTCATATTTCCATAACACTGACAATAAGAGAGCATTCGTTCTTATGAGAACGCTGTTCCTTGGTTTCGAGAATAAAGTCCCTGCTGAGTGGCTGAGCTTAGCCGCTGGCACCGTCTGCATGTACCCAATGTTTCCACCGAACACATGCTGAATATGGCCGACTTGACGCTTGACAGACAGAAATGGCGCGCGATTTGAAATTCAAGTTCTTTTTGAGACACCATTTATATTATCGAGATGCATCTCTTCTTTTAACATTGAAAATCTGGGATAGGCATTTTATTCCCATATTGAATTGCAGCTTCATTTCAGCCATAACTTCACATGTTCTATATTTCTTTTTGCTGTTACCTAACTCTGTTTTGTAGTTTCTTCGTTTATTCAATTTCATTTCATTTTGCAATATATACCTACCTATCTTGTTTTAACTTTTAATTTCGTTTTCTTGTGATCTAGTTTTTTTTTGCAATCAATAGTACAAAAAAATGCTTACCTTACTTCAAGCCAATCGTATCTACAGCTAGAATAAGATTCTAAAGTGAAGTTAGTAAATTTCAGCATGATTTGACTTCCAGGGTTTACTGTGATAGTCCAAATACACTCCCTATTAGTTGGATAGTTTTGTGGAAAACCAGGCGATTTAATTACACCTGCCGGAGTAAAGTAATTTCCTCCGCAAACTAAAATTTAGACAAATGAATCGAATTAAAGATTTAAAAAATTTGTAACATACCATTTTTCTCTAAAATAAAAGTATACGCCACTAAAAATCCATCTCCATGTATCGTATTATCCGAAGTAAAGTCTATTGTCATTATATTAGAAGAACTTAGCATTACAGGTGGTAAAGTGAATCCACAATATTTGCCTAATAAACCACCCATACCTTCGGTGCCAGTATTATTATCAAATACTTGTACATTGTCATAGCTGCAGTCAAAACTTTGCTCAAGATTAAAGGTGATCCATGTTAATTGAATAACTTTTTGAAGTGGCGCCATAATTACCCATCTACATTTTCTGTTTCCTGAGTAGGTCTCTAGGTTTCTCGGTGGATAGGAAATTGTTCCTGTTCCCAAATCATTTTTCATCAACCCGCCACAGCCAAGATCCAGTGTTGAATATTTAACTGAGAAAGTACGAACGACTTGCTTGGTTGTAATAAGTACGTAGTTTGTACTTGATTCCAATTTAATTTTTGTCTCAATCCAACGTGGGTAATCACCAAGGAGGGTTGCATTTTCGTTGTCTCCGTCATAAATCTAGATAAATCAACATTACTATATGCTTACTATTACTTACTATTATAGTTATACCTTTACAGCATCTAAAGCAAAGGATTGATAGTGTCTACCCAATTCAATATCCAGGATAATTATATTTCCTGGTGGTTGCTGTATTAGATGATTACATGTTGACGAATCAGTATTTATGGTACCGACAGGTGCTGTATATGTTTGATGACAAGCTAGAATAAAATAAATGTCATTATGTTTTAATGCGCATGATTTTTGGGTGCAATATACCTGTTTCGTATTTTATTTTCCAATGATTTTTATGCGTGTATTTCGATTGGGCTTCTATTATCACATTTTTGCCGTAGGTTATAATTGGTCCTGGTAGTCTACTGCCACATGTTTTCGTAATAAGAGAAGTACCTGTCTCTGATTTTAAATACACCTAGAAATATTTGGGATTTTTAATTAGTTAATTTGGAATTCTTGTTTAAAATTTTACCGCTACATACGTATCCCAGCAATTTTCGTCCATATCAATTTCCACAATGTCTAATTTAATTGTGGCACTAGTTAAAAGTTTAATCTCATATTGGCAGATAAGAAGGGAAGGCATGGACCTTGTTAGTTCGACAGATTTTATGTATCCATCCTTATTTGTATAGGTTCCACCACAACCAGGTATTCCTGAATAGGAACAGTTTATCATTATTCCGATACACAGACTAAGGATTTGAAATTATACTGTTCCAAAAAAAAAACATTGATATTCTTTTAAAACCCGTGTGTCGTGCTCAAAATAAATTTTGAAGACTAAGATGTCAGACGACAGAAAATGAAGGGATAGAAGAAAGAAGATGCGAGAATAGCCTTCTGCAACGTGAGTTTTATACTATTTTCTCAGATTTTATTTTTATTATTTTCAATTTTTTTTATGGTAGATGTTAGTTGGAGTTTTTTTTTTTGCAAAATATGTCAGTTGGTAACACTTACTTACGAACCAACTGACAGGTGAATTCTATTATTTTACAAGGCTTGACAATTTTGAAGGTAGGTATACTTTGAAAACTAAATGTCACTAGAAATCGTTTTTGCGTGCGAGAATAATGACATCTCACACCAAAATCGAGAAAAGATTAAGAAATATTTAAATTATAGAATAGTTTACCATCAACAATGCTGTATCCAATTTGGAATCCTTGATAAGTGTCTTTTTCATTCGATTTGAATTTTATATATCCAGATGGGAATAAGGAGTAGAAAGGTTCGGGTATAGTGGCATTACATAATTTTGCAAATAATTCTGGTTTCCTATCATCACGTTTTGTGGAATATTCGCCGTCAGCGTAAAACTAAAAAAAATATTCTTTGTGTATTCAGATCAGATGAAGTAAAACGGAGAAGTATGCACCTCTAGATAATCTCCAGTGCATTCAGAATCATGTCCAATGTCTAGGGTATAAACATGGAATAATAACCTTTTGCCACTAGGCACTTTGAATCGCCAACTACACTGCCTGCGAATAAAAAAACAAATAATGTCAATTTTATGTTATCAATAATGAAAATTAATTTATACCTATTATTAGGATATTTATTTGGCCAACCAGGTGATGTTATTATACCAATGCCTTCTTGATTCAACGTTCCTCCACAATCTAAAAATGTTTTTTTTTTTAATTATTTATTTTATTAATCATGAAAAGTATTACCAGGATCTTTTGAAGTCCAAGATAATTCAAATTCAGGTCTCTTTGAAGACTGCGCAACAGTCCTAAGCCAAAAATATATTATATTTTGGGTAGTGGTTAGGCTTCCGTTGAGCGGTAGTGTATTTCCACAGAAACGTCCTAAAGCAGGTGACAAGCTGTTTCTTCCGTCGTGAACCTGAAATCGATGATGCAAAAAATAATTTGTTTATATTCAACCAGTACTAACTACTGAACCTGGAACCACTGGGTAGTACATGGAGCATCAGCGAAACTAAATTTCGTAAAATTAACTTGGATAACTTTATCGTTATCTGTGGTTATTGTCCAAGCACAACTTAAAGCTTCTCTTCCACGAGAAGATTCAAAATCACTTGGTGGATAGCTCACAGTTCCATTGAATGAGTTGAGATTATCACCACAAGCTAAAAATAGTTAAATGTTTATCTAGGTCCTAAAGTAAGCATATTTCGCACGATTGGAATGAGTGCGTAATATACAGGGTGGCCAATTGAAAACGAAACAGAGGTGATTTTGGGCTCCCCAAGACATTTAAGAAAATATCCTCGTACCCGTCGATTTTTGATTTAAGGGGGAACCATTTTTTTGGTGTTTTCGCCCCCTGGGGGGCAAAGCCCTGGCGGGGGTGACAAGGGCCCCCAAAATTTTAAATGGAATGAGGGGTCGAGTGATACCTTATTTTGAAGCTATTTTTATGTAGATTATAACCCCCGAGTCTTACATCACTACTATCTATCTAGCCATTACAGGGGCTAATTAAAGTTACAAAAACTTGTTAGAATATTTTGTATTTAAAAAAATGCTTCAAAAACAAAATCAATCAAGTAAATGCCGAAAATGACCCCAGAAGAAAAAATCTAACGGGCTTAAATCTAGAGAACATGGGGGCCACTCAATATTGACGAGCCACTGCAGCATAGTGGGGTGACGCACAATCTTGTTGGAATATTAATGTATGCATCTGTTATCATTCTCTAGTATCTCCACCAATTCTGGATGAATCGCCTCTTCTAACCACTCTCTAGGTACATTTCTCCTGTTATAGGTAAAAAAGGGGCCTATTATATGGTTATCAAAAACGCTAGCTCAAACACTCAAATAATCTACATCTCCATAATGCCCTAGGACTATATTTCGCACGTATTATACCTGAAAATAGGCTTATTCAAATAATAAACTGGCACGACATAAAATAAAGAAGGAGCATTTAAAATCTACCAGCAGGTACCAGTTAGTAAACTTGAAGGCTAATGTCAGTTTTCATGCCGATATTGAGTATTTATTATTAACTTTAGTGAGTTTTTTAAAGTAATAATGGTTTACTCGCTTTTATTATATTATATAGCAGTTTATTATCGATGTATATTTCTCTGATGAATGCTGTTTTTTCTTGAACGAACGGTACGGTGAATCGTCACAACTGCCGCTATTGGGCTAATTCAAATCCCAGAATAGCTATTTACCTAACAAGTGCGGAAAATGAATTTTTCCGCACGCGGCTGCCGTTCACCGGAGTTCGGTGATGCAGCCGAGTGCGGAAAAATATTTTTCGCAAGTGTACAATATTTTTCCTACAGGCGTAAAAATGTAAATTTTTTTTTTTTTTTTTTGACATATCAGTGCGGTAAAATTTTTTCCGCACTGACAGCCGCGCGGAAAAACTTTTTCCGCACTGATATGTCAAAAAAAAAGTTTTACCGCACCGTGCGGGAAAACTCATTTTCCGCACGCATATCAGTGCGGAAAATCGGTTTTTCCGCACGGCTGTAGGAAAAACATATTTCGTGAGGTACATACACGCAACATCCTGAGAAATTGAGTGTTTGGGCTAGCATTTTTGGTAACCGTATAATAGACCCCTTCTTTACCTATAAATTTGATAGGAGAAATATACCTAGAGTGATTAGAAGATGCGATTCATCCAGAATTGGTGGAGATACTAGAGAATGATAACAGATGCATACACTAATATTCCAACAAGATTGTGCGTCACCCCACTATGCTGCAGTGGCTCGTCAATATTGAGTGGCCCCCATGTTCTCTAGATTTAAGCCCGTTAGATTTTTTCTTCTGGGGTCATTTTCGGCATTTACTTGATTGATTTTGTTTTTGAAGCATTTTTTTAAATACAAAATATTCTAACAAGTTTTTGTAACTTTAATTAGCCCCTGTAATGGCTAGGTAGATGGTAGCGATGTAAGACTCAGGGGTTATAATCTACATAAATATAGCTTCAAAATAAGGTATCACTCTACCCCTCATTCCATTTAAACTTTTGGGGGCCCTCGTCACCCCCGCTAGGGCTTTGCCCCCCTAGGGGGTGAAACCACCAAAAAAATGGTTCCCCCTTAAATCAAAAATCGACAGGTACGAGGGTTTTTTCTTAAATGTCTTGGGGAGCCCAAAATCACCTCTGTTTCGTTTTCAATTGGCCACCCTGTATGTTATGTTAGTGTATGTTATTTCAACTACGTCTACAGCTGTGTATATTATTCAACATAATAGATTTTGTCAGTTTTATTTGTGAATAAAAATTTAGTACGCGCATGATTTTCTTCCCAACTCGGCGTTATCGATAACGATGGCTTCTGATTGGTCTGCATCTGCACCCGTGCGATTTGTTTGCCGTCATTATACGAATGAGAAACATGTAGTGTAGTCAGTTTAAGCTGGATTTATAGTGTCAGTAGCCGTAACAGTAACTTAAAACTTAAAACTTAAGAACAGATATGAAAATATCCATTTCTTAAGTTTTACTAATAAGTTTGTTAAGTGAACTATAAATGGCCTTACGATCGGCCGTGTTTTAATATTTTACTGTTACTGCTACTGTTACTGATACTGACACTATAAATTCAGCTTTTACCGAAACTGTCGAAGCTAAAAGCTATTATTAAACGTGGTGGTCGAGGTGCATTCGCATTTTAATCAGGATACTTTTGTTATAAATCTTAGAGAACATTTTTTTTTTCGAACTTCCTTTACAGTGTTATCACTGGAGGATTTTATAAATAATTTATTAGACTCTCAAGGGATTTAATTCAATGCGCAGGTTAAAGGGCATTTTCTTCGAAACAGAACATTAATGGAACTACTATATGAAATTCCCTAGAGAATGACAATCCTATTGTCATTCTCTTGAAAGATTCTAACTAGAGATTCTGAAATCTCAACTTTTTATGTCTGCAGACTGCAATCTTTGAGAAGCTTTTGAAGTTGAGGCAATATTTATCAAATTAGAATTTTTTTTTTTTTTTTGATAATGGTGGTGATTTGTATCATATTCAACTAATGGTCTACCAAACTTGTCTTGTGAGAGGGTGCCTTGATAAGCAAGTCAACAAATCTCCTTTGATTTAATTATGAGAATAAATTTTTATCCGCATAACTAAATGATATTTATAATATGCATACCTGATCTTTGCCTTCCACAATTTCTTCCCACATACCCCGGTGGACATATACAAGTGAACCGTCCTTTCCTCGTTTGACATGTACCGCCATTTAAACAAGGATTTGGACTACAAAGGTCTCTTTTCTGATCGCATAATATTCCAGTGAATGACCGATCACAAACGCAGGTAAAGCTTGCGTCGCTTTGATTTGAACCGTATGAAACACAGCTACCGTGAACGCAAGGATTTGGTGTGCAACTGGTAATAGTTGCAACGTTGGTCGATGAAGATCGTGTACAACCAGCCGGGCCAACTCCAGAACCCGTGTATCCTGCAGGACATATGCACTGGACGTAGGTATCGGAAATGGCTAAAAACAGGAGACAGATGAACTAAATAATTTTTAATTTGTTATCGAGATATTTCACCAGTGTTTTGGACACATCTTGCTAAAATGCTACAGCCGCCGTTATTGATATTGCAGACTCCTTTGAAGGTGCAGATTTTACCATCGCCTTCATAACCTACAGGACATGGACCACATTTTCTAGATCCCTAAAATGAGAAATAATGGATACGTAAATGATAATAGAGCAATTTGTTTAGCAATATGGCTAGATAGGTACTTTAAAAAAAGTATTTTGTTCAAACACGCCTTAGAAATAAACAAATTGTTTCACTTTCTCATAACGTTTGACGCCTTTTTAAATGTTCCCATTGATTATTTTGCTATAAATAATCCCTCATCAAAAATACAATCATAATAGGGTTCCCATGCAGGGCTTTCTACACAAGCGCTTGAAAGTTCTAATCTGCCGAAAAAAAGTCGTATATTATTGACGTTGGCGTTGGCTAACGGCTATTTGTAAGAAGATTTAAAAAATATTTAATATCAATATATTCACCTATGTATATAGAACAATAGAGCGACTTTAGACTTTAACCAAAAACTGATTTTTTCTCGTGGATATTATTCCACCTATTTTAAGTTGAAACTGCCGAATGACTGACAACTGTATTATTTTAATTTCAATTACTTAAGATGTTAATAGAAACGGATTGTTTTACTAATCAAAATTAAAAATCCTCTAATTGAAAATTAGAAAATTTATTTTATGTTGAGAATAATGAATATCAGAGGCATGAGGGCATAGATTGGTTTATCAATAGAAAAAAAAGGGAAGCATATCCAAAGTTTCCAATGACGAGAAAATCTCCGACGTGATCTGTATGACATATAGACCACGTCCTAAAATCAACCTGATAAGTCAAGTCAGTTATTGGTGGTATGGCGTCCCGAATTGACGTATGGCATAGATAGAACAAGTCCCTAAAATCAACGTGATAAGTTACGTCAATTATTGGTGGAATGACATCCCAGACCATAAATGATGGAAAACAAAGTCTAATTGCCGTCAGCTTGCTTCTTGGGACGGTACTAAAGATTATAGACGAACGTCGAATAATATGGGAAAAAGTCTAGAATTGATAGATATAACAGTGAGTTTTCTTCATTTTTAGTGCAAAACAGGAATTAAATTAAAAAAATTATGATTGTCATTTAAAATGTTTGACTGTCTTGTATTTGCATCGATAATTATTATTTTGACACTTACAGGAGTATTGAAACACTCTGCGTATGGTGAAACACTGCATCCACCATTAAATAATTCACATTCATTTATATCGGCGCAATAATATCCATTTCCTGTGTATCCTGAAAATATAAAAATAATTCTTAGACGTTTGCCGACTGGAACAGCATTAGTAAAGGTAGTCCATGAATTGAAGAGGATAAAATATTTGAAATTTACTTTTGGCTAAAATAAGTGGAAAATGTTTTGATGAAAATGATACCAACAGAGGAAACTTTTTTTGCAATTTAATGGTACGAGTGATAAAAATTGATATAACATGGGTAAAGCTTTTATAATAAGCAACAACTTTGTGGTTTCTTGCACCATAAAGTTACAAGGTGCATCTGTTCTGTTAGAATTTTACCACATCATTTTTCAAACTTATTGTAGCCTTTTGATACTGATGATGCCATTGCCAAAATTAAGTTTTAAACTATTGGGAAGGCCGATGATTTTATAGGTTTTCTTTCCAACCTTGAAACGTTCCCTACACTAAACCATGGACTGCTTTTTGGATATAAAATTAAGATCTCAATAGATACATTTCAAAATCTGCTGAGGCTCTTTTAATTTCATTTGCTTTAGCAAAAGCAGTAACGATATTTTCCTACCTCTGACATACCTAGTAAGGACGCAAAAATAGAGATATTTCAAGCACCGTATTATGCGAAATCGCACGTTATTATGCATCCAGAATTGAAATGATAGTTTTCCTCATTATAACTATAATTATTTCCTTCAGATAGATTTTGAAGTACTTACTGAAACGATAGTGGCTTAATTTCATTAACGATAAGGATTCCAGAAAGAAACTGTTGATTATCTCATATTTCAAATACTCAGTTATCAGGAGTAATCATCATCGACTAAAATTCGAATATTTTTGTTGGGTTGAAATCTCTCTAATAAGCAATAAAGTTGTTCCAGTAGCGTGAGAACTCATCTGTGCTATTTGCGTTGATGATACCATACATACCTGGAGGACAGTGTTGACACGTAAAAGACCCTGGTAGGTTAATACACTGAACTAAAGGATTTGTCGAACATGGGGGATGATTTTGTTTGCACTCATCTACATCTATAGTACAAGACATGTGGACACCATCAGTCGTCCATCCTTGATCGCATAGACATTTATAGCCGATTTCATTGTTTTGTGAGATGCATGTGCCGTGACCGCAAATTTCCGAACCTCCGGTATTGCAATCTGACTTTTTTCTATTACAATGCACTCCTATCCAAGTATTCGGACATTGACACTGATATGTTCCAGGTAAGTTGAGGCACGTGCCTCCGTTTTGACAACCTAAATCAGTTCCGATGAATCTGGCACATTCGTTTATGTCAATATCGCAAGCTGGGCCCTTAACGGATAAGAATTTGTTTTAGAAATCAGACATAGCTTTAAAACTGATCTTACCTCCCAACCAGTTGGACATTGACACAAAAATCCATTGTAAATATCGAAACATATTCCTCCGTTTTTACAAGGATTACTCGCACAATCATCAGTTGTTAACAGAGCTTGCAAAGTTCTTATACTTCGTTGTAAAAGCAATATTTTGTTTGATAGTCTCCTGATGTTAGTTATTATAAAATTACTTGGCACTGAAGAAATATTGGTGGCATTTTGTCCGATGCCAGTTCCTATGACAACTAATCTACTTTCCATATCATCCATTTTGGTATTAAATTGTGATATAAATGTTTCGTAGTTGCGAAGCAATTTTGTAGCATTTTGAGCCTAAAATGAACACGAATTAAAAAAATACTCCTTATTAATGAAACAAGTTTTACCGTGTATAATGTTGGCAAAAGATTGACATCATTTATTTTAACTGCTCCTGCTATGAGTTGTATGAAATTTGTGGATGACGCTTTGACAACAAGATTATTGTCGTGGACGTATATTTCTGGTCTGAAAATCACAAAAAAGTGCAATATTCATTAGATGAATCCTGTAATTTATTGAAGAGTTAAGTTCCCTGTTCAAGGCATGCGACAAAAATAGGTCGTTTTGCAAACTAACAAGAGAAGCGAGATTCGATATAGACAGATTGGATATTTTTCTTAGTTTCAAAAGTGTGTAAATTTGTTTCAATTTTTCACGTAAGGTAAAGTGGGGTAATTGTGATATAGTTTTTTATTAGGTTGAATTTATAGCGCTGCCAAATGAAAAGTATAACCATTGAAATTTTGAAATAAATTACAATACATTTCTAACATGTTTATTGTCTGATAATGTATTTTCAGAATAGCAATAGATATCATCATAGTTTTTTTGTAGGGTGTATTTTTTTAAAACAAGCCCATTATATCACATTTACCCCAGAGTTCGGGGCAAATGTGATAATGGGCTATATGTTTGAATTCAATGCATGTGTATTAATTATTGGGGCAAATGTATAAAATATAGAGAAAATTTTACGCATTTTTAATTTTTTATTGATCAAAATATCTCAAATATTACAAAAGTTACAAACTTTTTGAACTTAGAAGCAAAAAAGCAGCTTTTTAAAACATAACAAAACATTAGAAAGTGTGAGAGTACTTGTCAAAAGGTACAAAACTATGAAATTATAGCCCCCAAAGCGAAATGGGAAGTCAAGCTTCGGGACATATTCTGGTTTTTGTCGGTGGCTTTGGAGTTTGTTTGACTGCAGATAACAACAGATCTTCAAATGACACACGCTACTGGCAAATACTTGATGGTCCTGGTAACTTCTTGCCTTGCTTTGCTCCACGTCTACCTTTGATTGGGGAATGTAATGAAACGTAAGGAATTCCATTTATTTTAGAAGTTCTGTAAATTGCGCCGTTCTTTTGGCTTCATCAATAGCTAATACTAGATCGTCCTTCCTATATTTTTTATTATCGGTGGTCTTTCTTTTGTAGTTGCGCACCATAGCAATACTGAAATAATAAAGAGGCAAATGTGATATACTATAACACTATTTCCCCGCCACTGTACAACACTTACCCCAAATGCAAAAAATTTGGGGCAAATGTGAGATACATAGTATGAAAAGTTGAAAAAATCTTGAAATGTTGGTAAAATAAACACACTAAATAGTTGATAACCAGTGTTGATTGACCCCACTTCAAGTAATAACATCTTACTTACCACTTTGAAGGAAATTTTCACACACATAAATAGAAAAACCACGACACTCGCAAGATTATTATAAACGCGCACCTAATGAAAGCTATTCAATGACTGATGAAGGATGAGCCGCACGTAAAATTTGAAGTGGTGGAAATGTGAACAGTTATGGTGCTCAGACATTGACGAGGATATCACTGGTTGATTATCATTTTTTAAATTTTTGGCGAGACTATAACACAATTGCCCCTTTCACACATTTACCCCACTTCACCTTACTTCATTGTCTGTCTGAATCAACAACTGGAAAACCTAACCGGTTTGGAATAGGGTTTAACCGACATCGAGTGAAACTTTTCCATCGAATCCGAAAACTTATTATTGTTGAAATCTATAGAAAGAAACAAAAAACTTTCAGTTGGCTTGAATTGAGTCACATTGGTTTGCTGATTGCTGAAATCTGTCAAGAAAAGTTGATGATAATAATTGCTACATAGTACTTTGAATTTGTCACGTTAACTATTACCAATTACCACAGATTCTGTGCTATTACCTACACAATTTATCATCAACATTTATCACTGATAAGACAATATACTAGGTCTCTTCCAACACGTCAAAAACCGTCCCATGAACGGTTTCGAAACCAGTCAGTGAACGAATTTTGGTTTCTACGCACAAATTTCACGCTTTGCGCAGAATCGTTACACTACATTTTACGGTTTTCTGCTGTGTTGGAACAGACCTATTGTCGCGGACTCCAGGTTTACTAAAACTCACTAAAACGGTAACAACTTTTATTAAACAAAATGACTTTACATAAAATATCTAGAAAACCATGTTTATCGAATATATTAGAATTCCCAGAAAATAAGTGCCTCAGACGTAAACAACTAATTTCCTAGAATCTGGCCCGGGCTCTCGAGACAATACAGTTTCTGGAAAATTTTGCTGTCAGAAACTAATAGCCGAGATTGAAAGAAGCTATCGGGAAACGGCGAAAGCTCTTGCCGATGTACTAGTAGAAATAAGTTTGTGTTGTTTGACAAAGTCAAATAAAAGTAGGTATGGAATTGGATGCTCATCGCTTCAAGCTTCAAGAGGGCGTAGGAAAAATTTACGAAATTGTTATTAACAGTTGGTTGGAGCTTTGATCAAAAACTTGTTGTTCTTTGGTTTTACATTCCAAAAGAAGTCAAAGGAGAAATAGGAATCGTTTAAGAAGAAATTAAAACAGTCAAAGGAAAAATAGGGACGGTCCGCGAACTAACTGAGAAGGACGCTCATGTTGACAGGATACCAGAAAGTCAACGTTGTTTCGTGGAACTTCTGATATTTAGGGAAATGAAAGAGTAATTAATGTGTCACTCGAAAGGTGTTCTGGCAGTAGTAAGATCCATTAAACAGTACCACAGTTTTCAATATGAGTTCCTAGTCAGAAGGGACCTTTCTGCCATGAAAATCGCGCGTTGATGCCATCACTGGTAGTTTATGTATGTATTGACAACTCTTGCAAATTTGAACCAAGAGAAAAACGAGGATGCCAAAAATTCTGGTTCTGTCAACCGATAGGGGTCAAGTTCACAGAAAGCGAGACAAATGCTGACGAAGATATTAACATCGATCTGCGTTTTATCAGAAAATTCTAGTAGGGAATTAATTATCAGTAAGTAGTAGTAACCCAAGGACATTAATAATTGTTCGAAAAAAAATTATAACAGATTTCGAAAGCTTGTCGCTGTTTCCTATAAGCCTGAGGAAGTTGTTATAAAATTTTTGAGCCTCTATCAATGTTCGAGGGTCATTCGGATAGAATTTTTTTCTGACAGCAATGTGCGAGGCGATGTCATTGAGTGAAAATAACCTTAGAAGGGCTCTGAAAACAGCCCTAGGGATAGGGATCTGAAAACAGCCCTATTATAGAGACAAAAAATAACAAAAGTTAATTGGCTGTTGGAACTGTCAAAAAATTTCCGAGACAATTAGCTTTGGAACGGTATACCTAATTTATGTTTTAGGCCCAGTTGATTCATCTTCAGATAAACTTGCTGGGTAACTATCTACAAAATAAATTCGCCGTTCTATAATTCTATTGGTCGCCGGATAACTGGTCGACCAATGCGATTATAGTTTGCTTTTCTATCCGTCAGATTGCATACCTGACAGTTTATTAGAAGGTGGAATAAACCGGGCCTTAATGTATCTAATCTCTGCATTAGAAAATCTAGAAGCATGCGGTAACTTTTCTATAATGTGATAATATAAGGCTTCAAAAGAACTATAATTTGATAAGGAATAGAACCTCTAAAAAGAATCAAACTTATTGATTAGGCATATTGATGTAAATTACTGATATGTTAAATATGTAAAACTTACTGATCTGCGTTGGCACTTGACCATATCACAAAAAAAACACTAAATAATTTAAAATAATCCATTATGGCATTTCATCGGCACAGTAGAGTGCTTCAGACTGTTACCTTTTTGGTACTGGCAATTTCCGAGCAGCAGATATAGTGGGTAGCTACATCTCATATTTAGTTTCTTTCCAAAGGGGCGTGGAGAGGTTTCCATTACATATTTTCATTTAGATATTGGCTTTTAATAGTTTATCAAATATTATATTGTCTAAGTATTTACCATTTTTAAGTATTTTGGAACATCCGATTTATCGAAATAAATATTTTGAAGGGTTTCGAGTCCGCTCCCTAATTTTTATTATTTATTTATTTTTTTGCCTGTTTCTATTTCAACATTTTTATTTTTTTCTAGTACCTATCTAAGCCTTTTTATTTGCTTTTGTATGTGGAGATTATTTCACCACTTCTCGAAGTGGAGCAGATAGATTCTGCCGATGGCTCAATTAAAGCCCATGCAGTTAGGAACATTCTTGTAATTCCTTTATGTAGGTAGGTATGTATTTTTTTTAAATTTTCACATGCACAAGTGTAGCCAAAAAGACCTAAAAACTCGAAAGATCCGGCTCAAACAAATGCAAGGGTGTTCAAGTGTTTTTTTCTTCTCATTTATATCCATAAAAGTAACTAATCAGAAGATTCGAAAGATGTTAATAAATTCTTGCGACTGTGCTTTGAAAAAAAAAACTGAAATTCAAGGAACTTCACATTTTAGTACTGAATAGTAGGTATAGGTACCTGAATATTCGTTATGGATCATAAAATTGGTTTTTGGGCCTAGTGTGTTAAGTGGACTTTTATCATAGACTTTTATACTTCACATGAGACTCATGAGAGTCATAAAAATTTTGTGTGGTGCTGACTGCTGAAAACATCGAACACCGAAAGTCATTATTAATTTAGTATAGGATATTCCCAAAGTCAGCTCGTTTTCAACCAATAAAAATAACAGCATGTTTTTAGAAAAACAATTTAAAGTACGAGAGACGGCTGCAGAAAATATGTCGTCCTAAGGTGGATGACCGAAAAAAATATTAATATTAGTTGAGGCCGTATCTAAGAGAAATAGTGAAGGTTGCCCGAGAAAATCCTGCCGCCAAACATTGTTTTTCAAAATTGTTTATTAGATACATAATTGCAGTTAGACTCTTCTAGCCGTAAACATGAAATAATGAAATTACCATGTTATAGGGGAGCGTGAAACGGAATCAACAACCGTATAAGGTTGCCTGTCCCCACCCTGCCGTAAGGAGGTCTTTTCTCTATTAATAACAAAAACTATCGTCATCAGGTGGACGCATAGCATAAATAACCTCATACCTCATTGTCATATCATAAAGAACTAAGAAATTTTGTCACCACTGCGGTGAGAAATGAAAGACAAGCTTATCTTCGCTACAAATAAAGGGTAGATCCCAGGAGCTTCTGGAAAACTCTTAATCATCTAAATATTAACTGTAACAGGCCTGCTTTGCCAGGTAATGTTGGTAGTCCGGACGCTTCCAATAACTTTCTTATAAATAGTATTCCTTTAATACCATCTAATCCTACCCTTATATCCGATAACTATATTGATCGTCGTCGAGGCGATTTGTCTGGTGAATTCACTTTTCAAGAGTTGACTGAGGAAGTTGTTGGAAAGCATATTCTAATGTTAATATCAAACGCAAGAGGGTCTGATGGTATAGACTTGAAAATGTTATCGTACTTGACGCCACATTCAACTAAATATATCACTTCCATTTTGGATACTAGCATTCGTAGGTCACAATTTCCATCCGCCTGGAAAAATGCCAATATAACTCCTCTTCCTGAATCAAGCTCTCCAGAAAAAGTATCTGATTTCCGTCCGATAAGTACAGGGGCGTCGCGTCGGGGGGGGGGGGGGGGGTAATGGGGGTAATTACCCCCCCCCCCCCCCCAGGATCCAAAATTCAAGGGAAAAATCGCGATGCCCAAAAGAAAATAAATAATAATATTGAAGAAAATACCTTTTTTTTTTTTGTTTTATTTTCCTCACAAAGGAAATTATTATTCTGGAAAAGTGAATGACCTTGAAATTGACAAAAAATTTCGCCTGCGGCGCGTTACCGGGGGGTCGCATCTTCCCATTACCCCCCCTAGACTGCAAGTCACGCGTCGCCACTGGATAAGTATATTGCCGACTTTGTCAAAAGTGCTGGAAAAAATCGTCAATGACCAACTTAACGATTTCTTAACTAAAAATTAAATTTCGCCTACTACTCAATCAGGGTTTCGTGCTAAACATAGCACTACTACGGCATTGCTAAACATTTCTGATGATATTTTCAAAGCAACTGATGAAGGAAAATCATCTGCTTCAGTTTTGCTGGATTACAGCAAGGCTTTCGACACGATAGATCATAACATAATATGCAAGAAGCTTTATTTTTATGGAATGAATCAAAATGCCATACTCTTTTTCAAGAAGCAGAGGGTTTGCTTCAATGGAATCAATATATGCGGACGATACGCAAATTTATAGTTCGTTTTTATCTGCTAATTCTGAACAGGCTATTCCTAACATAAACGCAGATCTGATAACTCTGTGTGATGTTTCAAGAGCTCATGGCCTGGTCCTGAATGGCAATAAGTCACAACTTTTATGCTTTGATAAGTTTATTCGGCAACAGTTTGATAATGGTACCTATTCTATTTTACTTGATGGTGCACAGTTAAAAATGGTGAAATATAGCAAAAACTTGGGGGTTATATTCGATGATCTGCTTAGATTTGACTATCACGTGGCAGACGTTCTGCGTAGATCCTATTACAAGCTCAAATTTCTGTATATGCGCAAGGAAGCTCACACTACCGAAATAAAATTACGCTTGTGCGATTCTCCTATTTTGTCTTTAGTTTCCTAATGCGATGTAGTCTAATGGCCGGCCCTTACTGTGAGATAAAAGTATAGTCTTCAAAAATTCTTGTTTAAAATTTTCCTACAATCTGAGAAAATGTGATCATGTCCCTCCTTTATTTTCAAGTTGCAAGTGGTTAAACCTGGAAAAAAGGTATCAATTGCATATGGCTACCCTGGTTTACAAAGTTCTTCAAACAAAATGTCCTGAATACCTATTTGATAGGCTTGTCAGGGAAAGTGCGGTGCCTGATAGACAGACAAGGTACTGTCAAAAGTTGACCATACCCAGACATCGAACAGCACAATATCAACGATCATTTAGCTACAACGGCGCAAAACTATTTAATTCACCAACGCCTGCAGCCGCGTCATGCAATACGGTTTCCAAATTAAATATTATTAAAAAAAATTAAATGATGATTAGAATCTAAGTCTCTTATTCCATTCAGTTTTGTTAGTGTAATATGGTCTAAGGAGATATAATTTGAAATGTTATATGATATAATTAAAATTTATATTTGGCTAAGAATTCTTTCTTATTTTGTTATGGGGTACTTAGCAATAGCATTATATTCTACAGTTAATACTTTGCAGTATCTGTTAGTTACTTTGCTATTAGTAATATTAGGTAAAATTTCTTTACAATTTTTTGACGCGACGGTTAGATAGAATAGCTAAAGCTAGATCTCGCCGTCTCATTTGTTGTTATTTGTGACTACCTCGCACCTTAATTATGAATAAAGGCTTTATTATTAATATTATTATTATTATTAAAATAAGGTATCAAATTAATAGTCTCGATCTCCTCTATACATCGAACAAAGTAAGGTCGCCTGCTCAAAACCTGCCAAAATAAAGTTGCCTCGTAAAAAGTTTCCCGGTGCGCGCCAGATATTTGGGAAGCGCGGGAGTATAGTGTATAGTGGCGGAAAAGTCCTCTACAATACTCCGAAATGAGTTCTTACACTTGTGCGGAAAAGTCAAAATATCTAAAATTGGTAGAGGTAAAAAAATATTAACTTAGTAGTAGAAAAAAATAGTGTTCTTAACTCGTGCGGAAAGTCTCTTTTCCTAGTTTCCCTCACGGAAAATACGGAAAAGAGGAACTTTCCGCACTAGTCAGGAAATATACTATTCCGACTGTTGGTGAAAGTTGCGCCTCCATAAAAGTTTTGGTAAAAGTTTCAGATACCCACATAACAGTGAAAGAACATTCATATTCTCAGAATATTCCCTCAAAGTGCTTTTTGGAATGAATATTCTAAGATTGTTTCGATTAAAATATTTATTTTTGGACGTTCTATTTATGTATTAGAAATGATGCTTCTATGCACCTACCTGAAAGATTGTACTAAGAACCTACTTTATATAACATTATTTGAATATTGTCATACGAACATTTGTTGCCGATTTGTCAGAAACGAGTGGACTAAAATATGGAGTGTGTTATATCATTGTAATCGGAATAAAATATTCTATCAAACACATATTTAATATACCATTCCATTTGAAAAAATATAATGTAGGCTCATATGTCAGAAAATTGATATTGTTTTGTTTTATAGGTAACTTGGAAAAAAACTTGGCTACTAACCCTACATTTTGTTTTTTTGTTTATCTTGATATCTTCAAAAACAAAAAAGTTACAGCGGATTAAAATGTTATCAAGATAAATTAAACGCACGATACCTACTGTGTTGGAAATTAGGAGACTGTTAACGCAGCGAGATAAATAATTTTTCAAAATTATACACTTAAGTCCAAGCAATTTTTGAAAAAAGTCAAAGGTTTCGATTCCAGTCTCATTTCGCCTTGCTTTAGGTCATTGCAACAAAAAATAATGCGTACAGCTTACGTCAGCAACATCAGAAAACTGCTGCGAACTAGACCGCCTTGGAGGGGGTGTGCGCCAAAATTAAGTTTTAGTGTGAAAAAATCTAAGAATAACTGTTCAAACCTTATTCTACGATATACCATCGCTAGATATACCGCCTTAAAGTATGTGTGACGGTCACGAGAGTTTCGTCCCAGCCGCGCTCCGCATTGTTCGTTTGATTGTTCCCGGCACGCGTCAGTAGTTTTTGTTTAGATTATTGCAAGTGACACAGAAAAAACATGTAAATTCAATGCACTCAAT